TTTCCCACATATAAAATAAATAAAATATCCAAAAAACTTTTACCTCTAAATCATCTATTATATTATACACGTCACCAACGAATTCATACCGCAAACATTACAAATACTTAGTGTCAAATATTTAAATTATTTCCATGCACGTTTACTTCAACTTAAAACGTATACCAAATTCCTACAAACATAAAATTCACAAAATAACTATCATTTAATTAAAATATCACTAAACCATGTACACGTCGACTTATTTTTACTTAAAAAAACATCCCAGAATTGCACAAAAATGGCATTGCGCACACTCTTCACTATATCCATGTACACTGCTTTTTTCTCATAAATTAGAAAAATTTCACGAAAATACATGACAATTTTCTCAATCTTTAAACCGGGTAAAAAGAACATATATGAAATTACCTGATCGCGAAAAAGTATTTACCCTTTCCAAATATGAACATTTCCACATATAAAATAAATAAAATATCCAAAAACTTTTACCTCTAAATCATCTATTATATTATACACGTCACCAACGAATTCATACCGCAAACATTACAAATACTTAGTGTCAAATATTTAAATTATTTCCATGCACGTTTACTTCAACTTAAACGTATACCAAATTCCTACAAACATAAAATTCACAAAATAACTATCATTTAATTAAAATATCACTAAACCATGTACACGTCGACTTATTTTTACTTAAAAAAACATCCCAGAATTGCACAAAAATGGCATTGCGCACACTCTTCACTATATCCATGTACACTGCTTTTTTCTCATAAATTAGAAAAATTTCACGAAAATACATGAAAATTTTTCTCAATCTTTAAACCCGGGTAAAAAGAACATATATGAAATTACCTGATCGTGAAAAAGTATATGAACATTTCCACATATAAAATAAATAAAATATCCAAAAACTTTTACCTCTAAATCATCTATATTATACACGTCACCAACGAATTCATACCGCAACCATTACAAATACTTAGTGTCAATATTTAAATTATTTCCATGCACGTTTACTTCAACTAAAACGTATACAAATTCCTACAAACATAAAATTCACAAAATAACGGTTGATCTTTATATCATGGTAACTTGGCGTTTTTTTGGCGAAAATTTGGCGACCAACTCTCCTACAGCAACCCTCTATTATTTTTTTCCCGCCGCCATTTTGTCTTCACGAAGTAAAGACATGTTTCTTTTCTTTTTATTTACTGAACACTTCTTCCAACAATCTACTAGCCGAATTACACTTATGCTAGAAATTTTATCCAAACAAAACTGCTTAATCATGACAAATATTCACTGCAAAATTGGGGAAAAGTGCACAATACCATACTCCTTACGCGTTTTTAAAAATAACACATACACATAAACCATGTACACGCCGACTTATTTTTACTTAAAAAAACATCCCAGAATTGCACAAAAATGGCATTGCGCACACTCTTCACTATATCCATGTACACTGCTTTTTTCTCATAAATTAGAAAAATTTCACGAAAATACATGACAATTTTCTCAATCTTTAAACCCGGTAAAAAGAACATATATGAAATTACCTGATCGCGAAAAAGTATTTACCCTTTCCAAAATATGAACATTTCCACATATAAAATAAATAAAATATCCAAAAAACTTTTACCTCTAAATCATCTATTACATTATACACGTCACCAACGAATTCATACCGCAAGCATTACAAATACTTAGTATCAAATATTTAAATTATTTCCATGCACGTTTACTTCAACTTAAACGTATACCAAATTCCTACAAACATAAAATTCACAAAATAACTATCATTTAATTAAAATATAATTAAATTCAAAAACACTACTTAAAATATAAATGACAACATACATTAAATTAATACATGCATAAATACCCATTTCGAATTCACTTTAGTTACGGCCATGGGATCCAAAAATTCACGAACACTGTTTCACACAACACAGAATAAAGCCAAATACAAAATTTCCAGATTTTTTTCCCGATTTCCCCCCTTTTCCGATTAAAGAACCGTAATTCGTCCATTAATATCACATGACATATCCCATGATCTCTCATTTCCCACACACAAAATAATGCGTAATCGGAACTGAGTACTGCTCACATTATTACCAAAGTGCCAGGTAGTAACCTTTATCGCCTCCAAAGTGTCGCCAAACTACCAGTTACCATATTGTAAAGATCAACCGATTTTAGCTTTGAGGTCCGGATTATAGATCATTCCAGATTATGGGTGTCTGAATTAACGACTTTTGACTGTATAAAGTTTAGATATATTTTTATTAAGATATACACTTATTCTATTATAAAGTTTAGATATACAGAACAGAAGGCACACTTTGTGCTTACGACTCAGTCAAACTCCTGTAGCAAGATAATTTATGGTAACAATTAAGTTCAAATGTAAAATTTAAGTAATCTTGTAGCCAAAGGCTACACAAATCAATTTAATGCAAAGTTGGTTCAAAACTTAACTGGCATGGAATTCAAATATCAGCAATTATAATGCAAGACTGAAGACTACAAATCTTTTCTTACCTAGCAACCTAGTAACGTGGCCTCGAAAGGCAAAACACGCTTTGTTTTACAAACTAAAATCTTCATTTGGATTCTGGTGGGAAAATGGATGGGGAAATTGACAGTAAAGATGATTACAGATGCAAATCTGGGTTGATCTTTGGATTATGGTAACTTGGCGAACCAACTCTGCTACAGCAACCCTCTATTTTTTTTTTCGCCGCCATTTTGTCTTCACGAAGTAAAGACATGTTTCTTTTCTTTTTATTTACTGAACACTTTTTCCAACAATCTACTAGCCGAATTACACTTATGCTAGAAATTTTATGTAACAAAACTGCTTAATCATGACAAATATTAACTGCAAAATTGGGAAAAAGTGCACAATCGCAAACTCCTTGCGCGTTTTTCAGAATAGCACATACACATAAACCATTTACACGTCGACTTATTTTTACTTAAAAAAAACATCCCAGAATTGCACAAAAATGGCATTGCACACACTCTTAACTTTATCCATCTACACTGCTATTTTCTCATAAATTACAAAAATTTGCACGAAAATGCAAAAAAAATTCTGTGAATCTTTAAACTCGGTAAAAAGCACATATATGAAATTACCTGATCGCGAAAAAGTATATACCCTTTCCAAGGATGAACATTTCCACGTATAAAATACAAAAATATCCAAAAACTTTTACCCCTAAATTATCTATTATATTATAAACGTCACCAACGAATTCATACCGCAAACATTACAAATGGTTACAAATACTTAGTGTCAAATATTTAAATTATTTCCATACACGTTTACTTCAACTGAAACGTATACCAAATTCCTACAAACATAAAATTCACAAAATAACTATCATTTAATTAAAATATCACTAAACCATGTACACGTCGACTTATTTTTACTTAAAAAAAATCCCAGAATTGCACAAAAATGGCATTGCGCACACTCTTCACTATATCCATGTACACTGCTTTTTTCTCATAAATTAGAAAAATTTCACGAAAATGCATGAAAATTTTGTGAATCTTTAAATCCGGTAAAAAGAACATATATGAAATTACCTGATCGCGAAAAAGTATATACCCTTTCCAAAGATGAACATTTCCACGTATAAAATAAATAAAATATCCAAAAACTTTTACCTCTAAATTATCTATTATATTATAAACGTCACCAACGAATTCATACCGTAAACATTACAAATGGTTACAAATACTTAAGTGTCAAATATTTAAATTACTTCCATGCACGTTTATTTCAACTGAAACGTATACCAAATTCCTACACTATCATTTAAATTTATCATAAAATTCACAAAATAACTATCATTTAATTAAAATATCACTAAACCATGTACACGTCGACTTATTTTTACTTAAAAAAACATCCCAGAATTGCACAAAAATGGCATTGTGCGCACTCTTCACTATATCCATGTACACTGCTTTTTTCTCATAAATTAGAAAAATTTCCTGAAAATGCATGAAAATACTCAACGTATTCTACTCAAACGTATTCCAAAATACTACAAACATATAACTCACAAAATCCCGAACATTAAATTAAAATATAATTAAATTAAAAAAATACTACTTAAAATAATAAAAATTAGATTACAATCCTAAAATAACATATACTAGTTTGAAATGCACTTATTAAAACATAATTATAATTCAGAAGTATATATCTAATAAAAACATCGGTAAAATTCAACAGACGATCTTCATATCAATAACTTTTCTATTATAATTACGTACTCGGATTCTTCTTCCAATCTTAAATGGTCCTGTTCTGTTATGTTACCTTTAAGAAATTGACCAGCAGAATAATTAATAAGTTCAACCCACTGATCTCGAAAATTTTTCAAATTTATACGCTCTCCAATCCACGGACGGTCAGCACTTTTATGAACATTTTCCATCTTAATGAAATCGTTTTTATTTTACATTCTAAGAAAAAAATAAACAGATTTACCGCAGTTCGTATAGTTTACGTAATGCGAACTCCTTTTATCATATTAAACCTTTAAAATTGTTCAGACCTACACTAGGATAAGTCATTTGTCATTTTCCATGTTTTTTCTTTTTAATTTTTGGTTGTTTGTCTATTTGCTTATTTATTTCTTCAATACAAGTGTAAAAAGACTGCAATCGAATCTTGGTATTTGATTCGAGTTTAATACATCAAGCCAGATCTAACAAAGAGAAAAATTTTATACCTTTTTTTTCTACGGGTCTTTCCCTTCCTTCTTCTATTATTTTTGGGGCCATTTATTTTAAATTTTATTTTGTCCCATCTTTTTTTCCTGGCCTTTCGAACTCGTACAAAATGCACGAAGTTCCTTTTTACTCTCCTCTGAAATATGAAATTATCCTCCTTTCCTATGTTTTCTTCGCACCTAAGCTTGATTTTTCGGTCATCGGTGCAGAAAGACTTAGCGGGTGCAAAACAAGACATCTGTTTACTTTGTCTATTGGCCTTGGTCTATCTGTCGGAAAATTACAGACTTTGCGGAAAATAAATAATCACGCGACTAATCACTCCGCTTTCCTGAGAAAGGTCTGCGTAAGCAGAGAACGTCTGTGTATTCTTTGGCGTAAGCAACTGCAGCTCAGTAGTGAAAGGCAGTATAGTTTCTCATGGACGCTGGACTCTACTCCTAGACTTTATTTTGCTACGATTGCATGACTTTAATGTCACTTGATTTTTCCTCGCCCAAGGGTGTGGTGTAAATTTTTACACCTTTATTTTCCCAATTTAAAGCGAAAGGCCACTTGCATTATTTGGATTTATAGGTAAAGGTTCTATGAAGTCGAGGCCTTATGGAACGATGACAGATTTAGATTCACTGAAATTAAGCAAAGTGCTAGTATAATTGAAGCGTTATGTAATGCAATATGTTTAACAGATAATTGCTAAAATTCATGTAAGAAGACTCTGTATAGTTACCCAGGAAATGTGTGTAAATTATAACAGACTAATTTTTGTAACATGTTCTTGGAAAGAAAGGTTTATGTAGTATCACATCAAGATGAACTTTCTGTAGAAAGTGCAGATATTTTTACAAAGACAATTGCACATACATATGCATAGGATAGAAAAAAGTAGTGTGAAACTCTTAATATTTAATTTGGCTAAATAATAATTTAATAAACTCTCCAAGGTAAATACAAACTGTTTTATAAAGTGCATAACAAGTTGTATCAAATTTACGTCTGGGAACCAATTTCATTTTGTGCGAGGTATGTTACTAGTGAATTATATAAAACCGTGATATAATTGAAATTAAAAACACTTTTGATGAGATTTGTGTAATACATTCTTTAAAAGTAAGGTAAAAACACATAACGTAAAAACTCATAACTCATAAGGTAAAAACTCATAACGTAAAAACACATATTTTTATTTGTACTGGAGAGAAAACTTATGGGTGTGAGATATGTAAGAATTTATTCAGATTCAAAGGTTCTTTAAACAGATGTATGCTTATTGATACAGGCAAGAAACCTTATGTGTGTGAAGTATATGCAAAATCATTTAGAGAAAAATGTAAATTAAAGAAGTGTTTGCTTATTCACACAAGTGAGAAATTTCATGTGTGTGAGCTATGTGAAATGTCATTTATAGAAAAGTGTAAATTAAACAAGTGTATGCTTATTCACATAGGGAAAAAAAAAAAAAACCTCTTGTGCTTCAGAAAATGTCATTTAGACAAATGGGAGATTTAAATAAACATATGCATACTGGAGAAAAATCTCATGTATGTGATGTGTGTAACAAATTATTTACGAAAAAGTATACTTTAATGATGCATATGTTTATTCACACTGGAAAGAAACCTTACAATTGTGAGGTATGTAATAATTCATTTACATCCAAGAGCGTTTTAAACAGACATATGCTTATTCATACAGCAGTGAAACCTCATGTGTGTGAGATATGTGGAAAGTCATTTAGAAAAAAGTATACATTAAATAGTCATATGCTTATTCATACAGGAGAAAAACCTCATGTATGTGGGATATGTAATAAGTCATTTAGACAAAAGAATGATTTAAATGATCATATTCTTACTCATATAGAAGAAAAACCTCATGTATGTCATGTATGTAATACATTATTTAGAAGAAAGCATAATTTGTATATACATATGCTTATTCATACTGGAGAGAAACCATATATATGTGAGATATGTAGCAATTCATTTAGATTCAAGGGTGCTTTAAACAGGCATATGCTTATTCACACAGGAGAGAAACCTCATGTATGTGATGTATGTGAGAAATCTTTTAGAGAGAAAAGTAAATTAAACAATCATATACTTATTCACACAGGAGAGAAACCTCATGTGTGTGAAGTATGTAACAAGCCATTTAGAGAAAAATGTCAATTAAATAAACATAAGCTTATTCACAGAGTAGAAAAACCTCATGTATGTAAGATATGTAGCAAGTCATTTAGACAAAAGGGTAATTTAAATGGGCACATGCTAACTCACTCGGGAGAAAAACCACATTTGTGTGAAGTATGTAACAAATCATTTAGACAAAAGAGTGATTTAAATAAACATGTGCTTATTCACACAGGAGAAAAGCCTTATGTATGTGATGTATGTTACAAATTATTTAGAAGAAAGCGAAATTTAAACATACATATGCTTATTCACACTGGAGAGAAACCTTATACATAAGAGGCGTGTGAAAGATCATTTAGATTTGATAGTACTTTAAAAAAACATGATTATTCATAAGAGAGAAGCCTTATTATGTAAGGATAAACATGTGGTTTGAAGATGCATATGTGTATCCATATTTAAGAGAAATCTCACATCTGTTATGAATTAAGCTAGTTAAATGAAATCTTTGATAATCTATGCCAGAAAGAACTGTCTGTATAGAAACCTTTTATATATTGAAGATATATATATATATATATATCCTTAATTAGTTTAGCATATTACTTACTATTAATATTGATTTTTACTTATAAATAATCAAATGTTATATTTTTCTCTTTTAACACATTTCTTTGCAACTAATTTTGCTTATGTTAAAGTTTTCACGGAACCACAGTATTTAAGCAGCTTTTTAGCGTTCAGACTAGAATTTATCTTTATCTAATTTCTTTAATTTTGAAGCACAATGCGCAAAGTTTTTGACCACATAGGTCTTTTATTGTTTGTTCTTTCTACTTTAATTAAAATGACTTATATGTAAAATGGTATATATATATATATATACACACACCTACTTGCCAAGTTCACCAACAGTTGATCGGCGTATGGTTATGAGAGTTTAAAACACATAGAAGTAAGCCGTGTAAACGTGGTATTTAGTGCATATAATCAAAATAATTAAAGAATAAGTAACTTAAATTCAAGTTAGCAGAGAAAACAATATATTAAGCATATGGAAGTGAAAATTCAAAATTAACCGGTTAAATGTCGTATACGAAAATAAATTTGTATTGAATTCAAGTTAGCATAGAAAACAATATATAAAACCTAATGGAAGTAAAATAATCATGTAATAATAACCTTTTTTTTTGGCAGAGTTATCTATTTAATGGAAAAAAATAGTAAAATTTAGATGTCTTTGAATATATTTCAGTGTTATAAAATTCCAAAATATTCCTGTTTTTAACAGTTTCTAAAGAAATTGTGAAAGTATAAAATCAAAAAGCCAATTTTACGATTAATATCTTCATTGCATAATTTTAAAGTACTTCCAAAACTATGATTGAAAATCAATTATCATATAATTAAGGTCAATAGATATTGTCATTTGAATAGAAACTTAATTGCAACTATCTGATTACATAAAAAGTTTTTTTAGTAATAAATTATATTCTGCTCTGACTTATTTTTTATATATGTTCATGTATTGCCCAAAACACCCATCATATTCACTTTGCATCTGGCATATTAATTTTTATTAAGACTTGCTTTCTTACATGTAACTCATAAAAAGAACCAAGGAACATATTATTTGTTGTTAACTGCTTTGCAACTGATATGCAGCTTATCAGCAGCCAAACAGTAAAGTGACTTCAGTCTGGTAGTTTGGTTAGCCAAGCTAATGGGCATGTTGTATGAATGTTTTTATGGTATTCCTAATATGTAACATGGATTTACCAGTTTCCTTCAGAAAGACCTCATTGAAGGCATCTTTCTCCTTAGGCAGATACCTCTCCCATGCTTTTCCATAATTTAAACAAACCAAAACTAACTGATGTATGCTGCTAAAAATTTTATTTTAAGTCTACATTTAATAACATTACAAAAATTGCAAATATGGTCCAAGTTAGATAATTTTAAATGCATATTATTACAATTACTTATATTAATTACACTAATTGCAAACATTTATTATATGGATATTTTAAATGTCTATTTTATCATTAATTATTATCAATATATTTATGGACAACATTTCTTTTTTGATTGCACTGTTCAATTTTTCTTAGATTTTTCACACCATAATTTTATCAGTCTTCTGAAATTTAGTCACAATTTCTCTCAATCAAATCTGACAGTGTAGTTTGCAGATGCAACATAAAAACTATGTCAAATATCAGCCATTAAGGATGTATGAATTAGGTTTTTAATGCAATCTGTTGTGTTTATTTCATGCTTATGACTGCATAAGAAGATTTGCATGAAATAAATGTGTCACAAGCAGCGACACTGAGATGTTATTTCACATATAACTGAGAAGTACAGCACTAATTAGCACTGTAATTGTTAAAGTATCCTAGCTTTTAAAAAGCTTGGTTGCATGTAATATGAACTTAATTACTTTATCATTTTGAGAATAAGAAGGGTTTGTGTGTTTATTTAATTCAATATGCAAAGCACGTGAGGGCTAGCTGAAAACGGAATGCTTTTATGAATATTTACATCACTTAAGGAAAACCATAAAAATGTCACAAACGCATGCGAAAAAAGAAAAAATAACCTGCACAGCCAGCTCGTTTATCAGGATTTGAGCCGAAATTCAACTACCAGCATTCAGCCATCTTAACTACTTGTAGAACAAATCTAAAGAAAATACTCGTAATATATAATCAAAATTTAACTATGTGTTGTATGGTAGGATTGCTTTCTCGAGTACCGAGGTAGGGAATACTTAATCTATTTTTTTTTAAGTGTTTGGTCACGGTATTATTCATTATATGTACTTTACGTAATTCATATAGAATACTAATATTTCTATTACAAGTGTCTTTTTTTCATTTTAAAGTGTTTTGCTTGTTGATATTCTCAAAATTGTATCTGATAATTAGTATAAATATAATAGATGTATGTCAGCGAGAGCCACAACTCCATATTTACATCATTGTGAAATAGGTTTCAGACAGCAAGAAATGTCAGATTCCAAACACTTATTCAGTGACAGTCTTAGTTCAATGCCCCCATAATAAATTAATGAATGCATGACTTTTAATACATTCATTTTACATAAACAGTATGTAATTTTTTTCTTCAATTTACTTGCAAATAGCTTAAAGCATTTTATGTTAAAAACAACTGCCTGTCGTTTTCATGATATAGTTGACAATACCAATAATCTTCAAGAGTACTGAAATTCCCTTCAGTAACATTGTTAATAAAACTAGAAAATCATACATTTTATTATTTTTGAAGAGTCATTTGCACTTGGATTCATTACACAAGCAGTGGTTTGCTAATTTTGATGACTTTGAGGATCCATAAAACTATTCTGTCATTTTAGAGAATCAATAATATTTTTTATTTCAATTTGTTATCTAATTGTATGTCACACCTGAAATCTTCCCAAATGTTATTGTTAGAAAAGCATTAACGATATATTATCTGGTTAAAGTTTTAAGCCATAAATATTGTTTTCCTCATTATTTTACATGACAGTAACCAATAATAAAAATAAAAACATTACTTAATTAATTATTTAAAATGCAAATTTTGGCAGCTAAAGAAGTCAAAATATTTTAGGGGTTGGAAACCTCATGTTTCTGCATGGCGTGTTACCAATTATCATTGACCACCCTCCTGCCACATTTTCTTCCGCGTACCGGCATATGGCACCGAAAACTTCCTTAATTATATGAAAATATTTCTATCTATTTATTGTTAAAAGTTCATGAAAAGTAACGTTAAAATACGAAAAAATAATAATAAATAAGTGAAGAATAAATTGGCAAATGGGAACAATGGCAGTGATAATTCAACAAAATGAACATAAGAGGAATGGTTGCAGCCTCCAAACAAGCGAATAGGTTAAATCCGATGGGTTAGCAGGTTTGAAGTATTATCGCTAAAGTTCACAATGTTTACATTTACCATGTTCTTTGCGGAAGTGTTTCCAGTCCTTGCTCCAAGCAATCCACTTTAACCTTAATATAAACCTGTTTCTGCCATTCTGTTTGCAGTATATGTGCATTGTGAGATTTTGAAATAGAAATAATTTTTTATTCATTTCAGTCTGTTAATTTCTAAGTGTTTTTATATTATGAAGAATTATGTGAAGCAAGTGAATTATATGTACAAAGAATTGTTAAAGTATTGTATATTATGGTGATAAAGCTTTCAAAGGAATAAGACTAGATGTTTCAATAAAGTTTAGGCGTATAGATATTTGTCTTCTATAAAAACTTGGTTTTTTTTGAATATGAATATACTGAATCTGAACTAGGTGCTTAGCTAGAGGGGGCAAGGGGGACATCTATCCTTAGGTGCAGTATCCAGGGGGCAGCAAATTGATGCTGTGATTTTTGAAATGAAATATTTCCATTCTTAGTAAACAGGAGTGGGTGCAAAATTTTCATTTGTCTCCAGGCATTGAATACCCTAGCTACAGCTCTGATCTGAACATAATGAATGAACCTTATCTAAATGGTGACAAAAATTTAAAAAAAAAAAAAAAAAAAAAAAAAAAAAAAGTAAAAATTTTAGAAAAATAAATTTAGTCATGGTTTATATATTTGATGAAAGTACCCCTTGTATTATGGGGAAATTGTTGTTTGATTTATCGCCAAGTTGTTGTTTTATTTATGGTAGTCTAGAGTAGCAGAATGTTATGGAAACCCTATTGTGACGTAATCGGGTGCATGATTCTGAGAAATTTTGAATCACGGGATGTTTAGTAAGCGTTTTTGTGGTGTGTGTTGGTTTGATTCTTTAGATGGTAGAATGGCCGAATGTAGTAAAATTAATTTGAAGTTTCTGTATGATTTGGAGCGAAAGGGGAAAAGAGCTTTAATTGACTGGTGTGTAAATGAAGGTTTATTTAGTAGCCATTATAAGTGTCCTGTATGTAGGAAGGATATGCGTTAAGTCGAACGTAAAAACCATTTAGATGGATTTGAATCGGTTTGTAGGAAGAAAGTTTCAGATGGTCACTATGCGAAACGTTCAATCAGAAAGAGTACCTGGTTTGAAAAAAGTCATTTGAGTATGATTGTTATTTTGACTTTTACATGGCTCTGGGTGTACGAAGCGAACTCGAAAATCATGGTAAGTGAATATTTAGACTAGAAGAGAAACACGCTAATGTGACAATCAAAATCGTAAAAACAACCTTGTATTTAGCGCAAGTATAATGAAACACTCAATCAATTTTGAGGGCTTTTGGTAGTGCTTAAATGTATAACATGTTTTTCCTTTTTTATGTTATTTTATTGTTTGGTTTAAAATGTATTTATATAGTTTATGCATTTTTTGTTTGCCTATATTGTAGAATTTGGTGCTCCTTTGACTTTTTAAGTGAAAATAGGTTGACGTGTACATGGATAAAGTTAAAAGAATGCGCAATGCCATTTTTGTGCAATTCGGGGATTTTTTTTTTAGTGAAAATAAGTGGATGTGTGCATGGATACCGAGTTTGTGCAATTGTTTGTCTTGTTATTTTGGCTTTGTGTAGCGGCGATTTTTGGTGCAAAAATTGCCGCTTCGCAAGCCAAAATAGTGAGTCAAAGAATTGCACAAAATCGGTATCCATGTACCGCCAAAAATCGCCAAGGGGTACCCTAAACTGTACTTTTACCATAAATATTTATGCAAAAATATCATGGAGGAGTTGTACTTAATGAATTATCTCATGTCTTGTACAAAGAATAAAATGGTATTCTCATAACAGCTCAACTAATGCCCTTGAACCATGATCAGTTTCAAAGGAACTTGTAACATTACTGGGAACTTTTTTGTTATTGGGATTGGATTCAGAAATGTATATATGCATGCATGTATATATGTACGTGTTTTTATATACACATGTATACATACATACTTGCATTTCTGAATTTGGTCTCGATAAAAAAGTAGCAATTACTGTAACTATACCACATAGAAATCAGTAGTACACAACGAAACAAATAAATTATAGATACTTATTTTTATTACATTACCAGATTATTTCATTAAATTATTCAACATTACCTGAAGAATGCATTGATGTGGTTCTGAAGAGAACCTGTGATATCCATTGATGGTTATCAATGTACTTTAAATATATTAAAAATGGTTTAAGTGTTCGTCTTTTGCATCTATCAGGTGAAACAGCCCTGTCAGCAAACAGCCAATATGGTCAGCTGAATATGGCCCACAAAACAATAAATAGTAGATTAGGTCATGCAGGAAGTTTGACTCATAACGTTCTAAACAGAGCTACCAGTAAAATCGGAGGTCCTATACAAAATAGTAGAAATTGACAAAAGCCTTTTTACAAATTGCGAAAACAAAGCGATTAGAATACTAATTGTCCATTAAATAACGAGGCTTCATTTCCTTCAGAATTCCATTGGAACAATTGGTGCAACTTTGGCAGGATCTCTGCCAACTTTCATGGTTTGAAGAAAGACAATTTAGTAAAAATATATTTCAGGGTGCCCCTTGGAGATTGGCCAGCAAGGCACAATTTCAAAATAAAACCAAAATAACAAGTCAAAGAATTGCACAAACTCAGTGTCCATGTATACACCAATCTATTTTTACTTTAAAAAAATCAGAAAATTGTACAAACTCGGCATTGTGCACTCCCTTGACTTTGTTCATGTACACATCGATCTATTTTCACTTAAAAAAAAAAAAAAAAAAAAAAAAAAAAAAATTCAGAAGGATGACGTCATGTAATGTTAAAACAAAGTTACTCATCACCAAAATTGAACAAAATTTGTAGCCAATCGAAGCTCAATAAACTGCATTTTAAATCGCACAATGAAATCATATAAAAAAGGAAATACATGTTATTGCATATATGCACTACAAAAAGAAATACTGACTTACTATATTTAGAAATTTCTGTGGCACTCAAAATTCAGGGTTCATACAGTCCTTAAATTTTGGCCAAAATCAGCAGAAGGTCCTTAATTTTAATCATCTGAAATTTCTGTCTGTTTTTATGACTGCCATTTTGAGTGTGAATTAGCATTTTGGAGGAATATTTTTGGCGATGAATGGGTTATAATTTGTTTCTATTTCTAATATAAATGATGGGATACTCGAGTTTCTGAGCAAGAAGTGAAACGTAAACATTTCGAAATTCATTTTTTCTAATAAAGAAATCTTAAACAACTTTTCGCTTTTGGGAATGTGAATTCTTTTATTAAACGGTTTTAAATTTGGCGACTTGTCAACGTTTTGGCGATTTTAAGATCAGTTTCTATAGAAAATTTTTAATTCCAAGATCTGAGAATTTTTAGACGATTTTTTTAAAACATCACGACATTGATAAATTTCATTAAAATAATGGTAATATATTGAAATTATATTAAAAAATAACATTAAAATAAAACATCCCTATTTTTTGCTGTAATATTATAAAGTTTCATTTTGGCAACTTATTATACAATATTATGAATCTGAAAAATAAGGCATAATGCTTTAAAGCGTAATTTATAAACAGCTCTTAACAAGAGCAAAATTAGCTATGTAAATTATTTAAAATGTCTTCTTTTCAATTTTTTCATAGTAAGCATTTTCCCATCTCAGAATATGCATCAATTTTCTCTAAAATTAATTTTACACTTCTTCCCTTCTTTTTTTTTTTCCCAAAATATTTCTGCCTTTTTGCTGTTACAGAATTGGTAGGGATAAATTTTCTCTAGTATTTTAGACATTGCAGCTTGGAAAGTTTAGAAGGATTTGAAGGCAAGATTTATAGACCCACGATTCTAGAAGATTCAAGAAATATGTGACAAAATGAAAAATGTCTCCATGGTATCAACATATAATGGATGTATTTTACAGAAAGTTTGCGATGAATTTCTTACCTTTTGGAGAACGTCTGGAGAAACAATGAAAACATAATAATTTAATGTTTTACTTCTGATACTTGAATCGTTTTCCTAACATGTTTATTTTCCCTTTATTTTCTCTACTTCTCACTAGACACAAGTATGGAAAATATCAAAACTGCTTCTAATCTTATCACATGGCCAGACATTATAGAAAGGGATTTTTTTATTAATAAAGAAATTTAAAATTTAAAAGATTCATCTAATATGTCTTAATGCATCAACACATAGCTGGCACTAGGCATTTCCTACCTGATGTAATCTCTGTGAATCCTAAATTCTGCTGCCTAGTGCCTTTCTAAATTCTGCTTCCAATGCCTGCTCTAAATTCTAAAAGTTTTGCTATTTCTAGATTTTGTTGTTCGGTGTGTCACTAAGTTCTAAAAATTCTGCCACATCAGCTTTGTAACCGGACTTTACCATATATACTTCATATTTCTTTTGAATGTTCCATATTACTAAAGAAATAAAATAAGCTACTTCTTCTATACAGTCTAAATGCATTTAGTGTTTTTTAGAATAACAGAAATCCTTTAGTTATATTCCAAAAATTCTAAAATGAAAAGGAAACATGTTGAAGAAAGAAACTGAGTACATAAAGAAAATTAATCTTCAAAGATATGTGCAGTTGTTATTATGTAACTTACCTGTTGTTTATGATTTTACGTCTTTCATTTTATGATTCAGTCGAGGGTTTGGGACTATTTAACTTTTACCAGATCAAATAAACCCCCATAGGTACCTTGTGGAGAGGTTGACAAGTTAGAAGATAAGCACGCAGAAACTAGCGAGAGTATTGGTTTGCATATTGAGACAAATCTCTAATTGTTAGAAAAGATGCTTAAAGAAAAAGAAATCGATATAAACTAGCCAAAGTGTTTGGGAAGGCTTCAAATTAAAATGAAGGATAAATATTTTGTTGAGTGCTGTTGTTACAAAACATAAATGTTTTGTAACAACATAAATGTTTTGTAACAACATAAAATGTTTATAACAACATAAATTAAAAGCTACAAAACATAAATGTTTTGTAGCTTTTAATGTGTATCCTAATATTGTTTAAGAATCAATGTCATAAATTATATATATTTTAAACTGTGAAAATTTATTAGCTTTTGATTTTAATAGGCTTTTTTAACAAATATTGTTAAAAAATAAAACTTAATAGTGGCCATGTAAATCCATTATGACTAAGGTTATCTAATTACCTAATTTAATTATTTATAACTAAATGCTTACCCTTAAAAATTATGTCTACATATGAAAGCGAGTTGTTGCCTTTCATTAACACTCACTGTGGTCACAAGATAAAACACAAAAATATAAAAATTCAAGTAAAACTTATTCTTTGCATCTAGTGAAACTTAAAAATAATTCAAAACGACTTATCATCTCTGGTACATTAATCGCTTATTGGAACATTAAAGTATATTAACTGGGCTACAACCGCTTGGAACTCTACACAAAGCTATGACAGCATCAAACAGAGCCTGACTAACTTTCAACACTTCCCAACTGTGTCTACATCAGGCCTTTTAGGTTCGTTCTAATGAGCAGGTCTCTCTCTAGACAAGCAACAGGGGTGACAACTTTCAGTCTTTTGTTATGAGTCATGCTGATTATGATCTTACTTCTCATTTTAACCTATGCCTTTTGACATAAAATCTTCCTGCTATTTACTAAACCTCTAGACTGACCAAGTGACCAAGTATGTGATAAAATGAGACATAAAAAAAATAAACATAAAGCTAACTATTAGTAAAACGTAAATGTCACTTATCTTCTTTCAAATATGTCCAACTATT